CTGCTCTTCTCCAGTGCGGGGGAGCGGATTTTTTTTCCCCCCAGGAAGAAAAATCCATGCCCTCAGCGCAGCCATAGGACTCGCAGAGCCGGAGCGCGATGCGGGGCTGGCAGAAAGGCGTTTTCCACTTTTTCTTCTTAAATAAAGAAATCTAAAAAGCACAGGGTTTTTTCGCTCCTGCCGTCCCCCCTAGTTGCTCCAACTGGTGCTCGGGGCCGCGCACATCCCTCTCGCCAGCAGCCTCAGGTCCCAGCGTCACCACGGAAGGTCTGGGCTGGTTTTCTCTCTGCAGCATCGCCCCAGCCAGCGTTTTCCAAGGCAAGTCATGGGGTTTTCTTTGCAGTAGGATGGACAGCGTGCACGGAAAACATCCTCTTTCCTTCCCCAGACAAATCCACCAACACCAAGCAGGGCACAGCGGCTCCGTCCCCAGGCTGCACCAGCCCTGCTGCTCCCGGTTTGGGCAGCGTTGTCCCTTCCTTTCCCAGGGGTGCGGGTGGCATCGACCCCACGGCCAGCACAGGGTTGGGAGCGTCACACGGCATGGGGTGCCCCAGGGATGCTGTGGACGTGGACACGGTGACACCAGAGGACTTAGCGCCCCAGTGGCTTGATGCCACGTTGTCTTTGGGATGCTGCCATCGCTGGGTGGCTCTGATGGGTCCCCAGGGAGGGATGGGGCTGCCCCTCTCCAGGAACTGCGGATCACCTGTGCCGTGGCCCTATCTCCTTGCGCAATCTCCTGCAACACCCGTGGGGAAAGGATTGCTTTCTTCCCAAGCCCTGATTGCCGAGCTGGCCGGCTCGCAACTTGGCGGAAGGGGAACCTGCAGCTTGCTAGGTGGCCCTGTGATTCACGATGGAAAATAAGACCTTGCCCAACCACGTAAGTTCAGAGCCATAAATCCCAGTCGGAGGTGGCTTTCCCAGCTCCAGCGTGGGATGCCGGGGATGGTCCCTGTGGCATAGGCACTGCCGCGGCTCCGTGCCTGCTTGGGGTGCCTGGGGAGGGGGCAGCACAGGGGTGTCCCCCGGGGACGCAGGAGGCAGAAGAGCAGCAGCAGACACAAACCAACCTAACCCCAGCGCCCACGGGCCCTGGAAGCAGCCGCCTGCCAAAGCCGCCACAGCCTCCCTCGCCGGTGCGGCTGCCAGCGCCCCCCTCCCCCCCCACGGCCGGCGGCGCGCCGCGGGGGCGCGGCGCCACGGATCTGTGCCGAAC